TCGCCACCGTACATACCAACTTTTATTGATTCCGAGTCCCGCACTCGTGAGAACGCAACGTACAGTTGTCCGTGCGTAAACACCGGGGACGGCAGAAACAAACCAACTCTGTCGAAAGTTTGACCCTGAGACTTGTTGATCGTCATCGCGAACGAAAGTCTCACCGGAAACTGAACCCGACGCATGGTGAAGGGCAGGTCGTCGTCTCCGCTGGACGACAGCGGTATCCTGGGGATGACGATGTCGTCCTGCCCTTCCCCCGCGTCCTCCAACAACCTCGCTTTGAAGTTATTGCGCCTCAGTTCCGTAACCACTAACCTTGTTCCGTTTCACATTCTGATTTTTGGATCGATGTTCCGCAGCAGCATGACCACGGAACCGACCACCAGCGTCAGCCTGTACGGAAGAAGTCCCTCGGGATCCAGCGAGTTCAAAAACTCGGTCGGGTAGTTGGCAATCTCGTTCGCCACCACCGTGTGTATGGCGGTGTAGGTTCTCGCGGCACCAGTGAGGCGTTGCAGCACCATGCGATTGACCTGCCTACAATCCTCGTTCCGGGGACAGAGAATTATTTTCCGAGCAAAGTCGTTGACGTTAGCCAACGACATTTGCTGCGGGTAAACAAAATCAATCAAATTAGCTATGTCACATACCATATTCCTGGGGATTTCGGCGGTGTTCACGTTCCCGTCGATCGCGGCCCTCGTCCCCCTGCGGACCACCGGTGGTATCTGTCTGAAGTCACCCGCGAATAGAACCGTCTTACCACCGAACGGCAGTTCCGATTGCATTATGTCCTTCAGCAACCGGTCGACCACCGTCAGTTGGAGCCCCGGAGACATGGGCGCTTCGTCCCAGACGATGAGTGCCGCCTCCCGTATCCTACGCGAGACTGCATGGCGATGGACGACGTCGAATCTTCGTTGAGCGTACCGAAAGGCAAACCGAACGTCGAGTGAACGGTCATACCACCGTCCATGAGCGCCGCCGCTATTCCCGTGAACGCCACGGACAACACAGATCTGCCATTGTTGCGGAGCGACCATATCAGGCAGCCGTAAAGCGTCGTTTTCCCCGTACCCCCGGGCCCGTGTAACGTGTAATGCAAATTACGTCTGTTTTAATTATTTATATCAACTACCAAATTACCACTGCACGTATATCCTTGGTATAATATATATTTATACGCATAATGTTTTGTCGAATTTGTACTATCGAACCGTCGCCGCAGCCGTTATCCATAAGGAAGCCCTAGGCCGTGACGATAACCGCTGCCCACCTACCATACTGCACACCCAGCATTTTTTTTCCTTCTCTTCTTGCCCTCCGACCTGGACGGACGTCTCCGGCAACCAAAAGCCAGCGTCCGAGTTTTTTCATATATTGTGTTAAAAATGGAGTGAGATCCACTAAATCGTTTCCGCGACGGATTACCGTCGGTGGATCGGATGATGAGTGGAATGTTTTCTGTTTAACTATGTTGGTGTGTGGATTTTTGGCTGGTATGTAATTATTTTTTTTGTTCCTTTTATGTATATAGAAATATAATGGTATGTATACCTATAAAAATATGTAATGTATACCTCGGCGTCTACGAGCGACCGAGCCCCCTCGCGAGGTTTTGTAGTATCATTTTCATAATTTATGATTATAATCGGTGGCATAGTCATATGTATGACGACTGTCAAAATATACATTATACTTTTTCTTTGTCCGAGTTTTGTGCCGTTCGGCTTTCTCGGCGTCAAAATAATTTCAACACAAAAAAAATCAATAAAAACAATAGATTCTTTTTTACATTTCGTGTTCATTTATTATACATATACAAAATCCACGATGCTCCGGTCTTTTGGGCCTCGGTTCGTGGTTGGCGACCTTGTCAAACGGGCGACCACATGACGTTCGACGAGCAATTTGTCTATTCAAATTGTCGAACGGTCACAGATGGCGACCTTGCCAGGATCTTTATTTTCTATAAATCCTAGTGGATGGAGAAATAGACGAAATAAAAAGGAACTGTTAAAAAAAAAAAAATGTTGAAATCTACCTATGTGTATGATTATATGAATGTCATTATATTATTATATGATTATTATTATTATTTATTACGTATACAGTGTGTAAATATACATCGGTTTATGCACCTTGAGCTAATGCGGTAATCAGCTATCTTTGCCATTATTATAATTAATCGGTCTTTATTACACAACCAATTACGGTTTAATGACTCCAATGATATTTCGTGTTCTAATTAAGTATCGGCTGTCAACGATTCCTCCGTGTCGGCGTACACCTATAATTATCTCTATACCTCTATGAGAGATTGTGAATTATATATTATTACACTGTAATACGTCGCATTACCTATGTGATTGTTAATAGTTATTATCATATTCCCCGAACAAGTACTGCCTGCCACTTTTTTCAGGAATAAATTCATTACCTCACGTCCTGTTCATAATATGCCGGTAAACTCCCTAGAAGTGGATAGTCCGGAGTATGCGTGCAGGGCAGCGGTTATCGGCATCGCGGGAGTCTAGCTGCCTATCGAACAGTTATCCCGATGCGGTCAACAACATCGGTGGTTCGGACATTCGCGGCGACGACACTCGGTTAAGTTATCGTATTAGTGGTATATATATATATATATATTTCTGTACACGTTTGCGTGTGGTGCCTGTATATTATTATTTAATTTAAATGTGTCCCCATGTATAATCGATATTTTTTTTCGATTGAATGTTGTTATACGCGACTAGATATATACGACTTAAAGTCATTTTTTTTTCTTTTTTTTCACGTTAAAGGGACCGATTTCCCAGTCCAAATACATGGTCTGCTTGGTCTGAGCAGGGTACGGTCGTTCCGACGAGTCTCGTGCGCCCTTTCTCCTGTCAGACATGCCACCAAACTCAAACCCACAGTCGTAATTTTTTTTATTAATATTAAGATGATCGGATATTATTAGCGTATACCTAGTAGTCAATGTTGTTACATTCTCCTGATAGGCCCGAACCCACGTATTTTTGTTTGAATAAGTCCCCAATCATGTATTACGCAAATGTTAGGACACGTTAAACGTGCAACGCGTGTACGTGTGGTGGTATTATGGTTATTCAAAGTCGTAACAGAATCACGGCGCTAATGATGTTATAGTCCGGTTTTATATTTCATTTTATTTTATTTTTTCTCTTCGTTATTGTTGCTGCAGCATGTGATTTATATAGTAATTTGTCTGCGTTAATAAAGTAACAAATAAGCATGTTAAATAACCCATGGCGATAACATCTAAAAGTTCGAATGCATTTGAAAAAATATTCTTAGACATAGTCGGATCATTACCTACGACACTATCTAATAACATTTGCGTATTAACAATGCAGGATGACCTTACAAAATACACGTTAGGATTTATTACTAACCACTCATATTTTGCACAATTGCAAGACGAAAATTTTGATTAAAGTGTATCATCAAATTTGGAATAGATTTTTCATAGTTCTTGTCTTGTAAATTTAAGTTCAATTTTTAAGTGGTTCATATAATATGAATATGTAATGTGGAAGATTCAGTCATGATTAGGGTTTGGGAGTATTTTTCAGTTGTATGATGAAACATTAGGTGATAATGCCTGCAGTGACAATGTCTTTTAAAAACTACAATTTGAAGTATAAATTATTTATATAGAATCTATTTAAATTAATTTAAATTTAAAACACGGAAATAAAGTTAAAGATACTTTAAAATTTCATATTTGAAGTCTGATCTAGATTTTAGTCTCAAACCCTATTCATGACATTGACATATTTTTTACATGAATTTGTTACCTATGTATGATTAACTTATGATTATTAAAAAATTATTGTTAAATTATCTTAAAATTTAAAAGAATGGTCTAAAAAACCTTTTGCGACCAAGTGTATCACTACATTTATTTGCCTTAAAAGAATTAATTATATTTAACTAACATTTATTTTTAATTGTATATGTATTGAATTGAAATTTTGAAAATTAAAAAAATTTATTTATTTACCTACAAACTATTAAATTAGTTCAGACCTAACATAATATATCTATTATAATGTTAAATTAACCTGTTAATAATATTATGCAAAATATTTGTAATATGTTGGTTTATCTAGTATCCATATCCAGACATTGTTACATGGAGT